GGTGCGATCGTCACTAGTTTTTTACCTCGTTTAGAGGTGTTTTTATTTGATAATACAAGAGTGCTAAAATGAAAGCTTAGGTTCTTTATATATTTTGATGCACTAATAACAAATTCGGCCAGGTAAACGGATTGAAAAACCAGAAAGAAAGCTGGCTTCGGCCAACCGAAGCTTATATACCCTTGCAGATAAAATAAATACCTTTTGTTTAATGCTCACTCGATCGCTGCAGTTCTAGGGATTCCAGATTCTGCGTGCCTATTTAATATTTTGTTTTTAAGTTGTCAAAAATCAAAACGCCTACTTCCTAAAAAGTTACACTGAATTTTCTTATATTTGTTTGATTATACTATGGGAGCCTTAAGATATAGTGGTCCGACACGGCTCGCTCCGACATATGTACTACCTGCAATAGAAAGAAGACTTTTGGGAAAGTTTTATCGCGATAGCTTTAATACTGAGAGACTACACTCAGAAAATGAATCGCCCTGAATTTTAGAAAATCGCCTATGGATTTGCTTCACTGGCGATTTTTTTCTTTAAAATAAAAAAATTTTCTACTGGTAAAGAAAATTTTCTTCCAATTAATCAAAATTCATTAAATTCAAGAAATATTCCAGAAATATAGAAAAAAATCGCCAGTAAAGCAAATCCATAGGCGATTTTCTAAAATTTTTTTTTGAGTGTAGTTCGCATAGAAAGGGACAGACGGACATGGCTAGATGGACTCGGCTAATGGTGCTGATCAAGAATATATATACTTTATGTGGTCGAAAACGTCTCCTTCACTGCGTTACAAACATCTGACTGAAATTATAATATCCTCTGCAAGGCTATAAAAATGTCCTATTGATAATAAAAATTGTGTTTTTTTGGGTTTCCTTAGACTTATAGGGGTTCAAAACTCATTTTTTCGAGTCTCAAGGTGAAATTTTCAAAATCCTTATCTTGGAGACCGTTTTCCTCGCCCGACTCGTTATTAAATATATAAAGAATCTAAGCTTTCATTTGCTACTACTTTCAAGATAATAGGATAAAAAAATTCGTGTAAATCATTCAGTATCTTAAAATCTTCGCAAAATTTATAGGTCGTTTGGGTGAAATGTGTTGCAAGTAGATCAGATCAAAACACTCATGCTAATAATTTCTTTCTGGATTTTATAAAAAAAGTCGATTTTTAAATAAGACGATGATCACAATACTTACAGTTCATCTCCTCGTGGCGAATTCTTAAGACCCGAACCGACCTATAATCAAGCACCATCAGTGAATAAAAGATTACGTGTACCAGGATTTGGCCGAAAAAAAATAATTTTTTTAGTTAAAATTTTTTTAAGTTTGCCAAAAATTGTCAAATTTGAAAAAGTACCCTCTCATTGAAAATCTGTATCTCCGGTTATGTGACTCCGATTGACTTTATGTCTTTTGCATTAATTCCTCTAAAACCTCTTCTTTCAAAATAAAATTTCTAAAAAAAAATAATAATAAAAAAATAAAAAATGACCTAATCTACTTCACCTGTTTTTGTATTGGATATGGGTAAAAGTTGACTCATTTACCCAAATACCCGACCTAATCAAAAGGGTTTCAAGTTTGTAAGTCAGTTGGGTTTATGGTTTGACAAGCAAGTCTGTTTACTTATGCAGGCCTTTGATTACACTGTGTTACAAGATTTTTATTTCCCTCGCTGTATGCGATACATTTGAATACGCTTTAAATTCCCACTATGAACTGCGTTTTCCAAAAAAATTTTTTTGTGCATTATTTGAAATTAAACAAAATTTTGAATTTTGTTTTTTTTTTCAATTTGTTCCCGCACAGTAGTTAAAAATTATTTTTTTTATTAAGTAATTGTTAAAAATTACACATGCCAACAGCATGGCCACCATTTCATTTCGATAAATGAGGCTTTTCTAAGCATAATTTGCCACTACGCCCATACTCTATCAGCTCTGGTATTTCCGATATCTTTAATTTAAGAACATCTTCATATTTCTACGTCCTTTGTGATATTTGTATATAGTTATCAACCAATTTTGTTACTCTTAAATAGTTACACGTCTTTTCTATATGATCCTTTTTGAAAATGTAATCTAACTTAACCACTTTGTTTTTCTACCCTCCATTTTTTTTTGGCGGATTGAAACGGATTTCTAGTGGTAGGCTAAGGGTTTAGCAGTCCATTCTACAAAAAAAATCGAGAAGTTTTTTTTTGTACCCTTGCTAACTTTTTTGACGTTATCCTGCACATCCTTTTTTTGAGTAGGTAAAGCTGGCCCAGAATATGCAAAAAAAAAATTTTAAAGTATGCCAACATATTTAAAGGACACGATAGACAATAATGGCTAGCATTTAAAATGCGAAATTAAGTTTATTTCCTTAATAAATTTTGCGATTTGTAGTACAAAATGGAAAAACCGAATATTAATGTTGCCTTAATTTTCGGCTTTTTTTTCGTTTTGTGCATGTCTCTCAGTTAAATTAAAAAACAAGAGAGAACGCTATAGTGGGGTGCCCCGACTATCAGATACCCGTTACTCAACTAAAGAGAGTGCGAAGGAGATAAAAACTTTGATCCGCCGTAACTTTTTAACGAATGGTCTGATTTAAAAACTTTCTTCTACATTTCGATAGGTATTCATAAACACAATAAAACTGCATTTTTACTTTTCCGAAATATTGAAATTTTAAAATTCGTATATAAGCGATTGTGGGCGTTAAAGGGGGGGGCGTTAAACAAACTTGCGCTGCGTAGGAACTCCTAGAATCTGCATGCAAAATGTCAATCTTCTAGCTTTTATAGTTTCCGAGATCTCAGCGTTCATACAGACAGACAGACGGACAGACAGACGGACAGACGGACAGACGCACATGGCTAGATCGACTCGGCTAGTGATCCTGATCAAGAATATATATAGTTTATAGGGTCGGAAACGCTTCCTTCTACCTGATACATACTTTTGCACGAATCTAATATACCCTTTTACTCTACGAGTAACGGGTATAAAAAGTAATAACATATATATATTTATGAAAATGTAATAAAACAAGCTTTAATCCTGCATCATGAAATATTTTGATTTTATAAGTTTCATACCTTTTATTCACGTTTGAAGTTGCAAAAAAAAAACCGAATATTAATGGGACTCACTGTACATCTGATATACCTAAACGGGACCCATCAAGATAATGCGTTCGAAACTCTCTTCGACATGCCGAAGTGAACTTCCTTTCTTGTTAAATATCCAATTAGGCCATAGTGTCATTATAATCAATAAAGTATTACCATGGGAATACAATTAAAGTTAAAGGCGATTTTGATTTTTTATCATTTATTTAGATACACAGATATTTATTTCTAAATACATTTAAATTTGGTTTGTGCTTTCTTATTCTAAGCGGTTACTTAAAACTTATTTAAGCCTAAATACAGCTCAACGAATCCAGCTACAATTGAAATTTGGTTTCGAAATCTACTAGAGTATTTGAAAATAGTATATAAGCAGCTTAATAACATAAACATAAAATTATTTCTCAAAAATTATTGCTGGGGCATTCTGCCACAACACAATATTACAAGTTTTTAATTTTAGATATGTATATTACAAAGGCCAAGAGAAATAGGCGTTGTGCATTGTTAGCCTATTGGCATTTTAGTATACTTTTTTGTTATAGCCCAGCAGACATTTTTAGTTTTTTTACGATAACACTGTGCAGCATTTTTAATGAATTTTAAATTTACCTCGATGGTTGCTATATTTTTGGATTCGTTATGAATTCCGAAGCTAAACTGCGTTTTCCAAAAAGTTCCCCTTGCAATAACAAGTTTAGCGCGAAAAATTCGGTTGGCCTGTGTAATTTATGAATCTATTTAAACAGTCAAAGTATTTCATTATGCCGATGAAATACTGCAAATCAATAATTTAAAAATATTAACCAATAAAATATGTGTGTCCCCAAACACATAGTTGAATTGCTGCTCGGGTAAGATTATAAATTATATTAGAATTAATTTAATGCAGTCCGCGGCTTAATGCGCTCTGCTTGAACATTTGTAGTCTTTAATAACACTACGCAACATTTGTAGGCATGTGCACCGTGTTGTTGTCGTCCACATACAGATGTACTTAAAAGCTAAGTGCTTTTACTTAGCTTAATAATATTTTATAAGAGTCATTAATTATATACATTTTTACATAAATTATTAATGAAAAATATGAGTCATGAAAAATTAATGGAAATAAATATTTTAAAAGTTTTTAAAACTTTTGTTTTAATGTTTTTGGTTGAATATCGCCCTAATGGACATTTTGGTTTCGTATGTATGTGATTAGTTAACTATTTTTTTAATATTTCAAATACTTCACTTTTTTAATATTTTTGTAAGCCTCCTTAAATTATAACTTAAATTGATCAATAAATGCAAGTTTGTATGAAAAGTTGTGTTATATGTATATACAAAAATAAATAATCAATTGAAATCATTAATTTTATCTGGTCGAGATTTCGTTTTACATACGTACGTTAGCATGTATATATAAACTTTTATAATTATTGCAAGGACCCGTCCTTATCGTTATACGGAGAGCAAAGAACGCAGGATATTAAGTTTTGAAAATGTTCTAGTTATAATTCTCATTATAAGTGCCAGTTTTTGAAAAAATTATTCCATGAATCAGGTCTGTTTTTGAGACTACACACAAAAAGAAACTTGGTAAAATCAACTGTTATAATTGTCAATCAGTCCCCAACCACAAAAAATAGTCAATTCTACTAAGTAAATAGTTACTTTCACAACAACAAATACACACAATTAGCAAGGACAAAAACCTATATCCCTGACAAAATTGACAATTTTTTGTGGAGTCTTTTTGACAATTTGTGGTTGTGGTTTGTTTTAAAGCTGGTGGTGTTTCTAAGAAATTTAAAAAGAACAAACGCTAAATGCATTTACAAAAAGTTAAAATTCTTTTAAACAAGAAAACATTATACTTCAAATGCCTGTATAATTAAATTATGCTGCGAGTACTTAAAGCACGGGCAGTAAAGTCTACATTAAACAAGAAAAATGTCAGAGGATTCTGATTTTGTGCACGCACTTCCGCTTCCTGGCGATGCAGCGGATGCTAGAGAGTTCGCGCGTGTTGCAGCTAAAGGTGACCTGACCAGGTCTTGCGTTAATGCCGACTGAGTTTGTCCGCTTTCGTAGTAGTAGGATGAATCTGGAATATTTATACATATTTTTAATGTCAACTTTAGAAGATTTTATGAAAAAATGTTTTTTAACGGCAAATCTTATGCAAATGTAATTTTGAAAAAATTTACATTTTAGTTGCGAAATTAAACATTATTTGATATAATATTAATAACTTACTTATCAGGCCGCCGCCAGCCCCATACGGGGCATACGATCCGTATGCGCCTCCATATTGTGTATAGGCGGGGTTGTAGGCATAATCTGTGCTGGGCACAACTGAGCTACAGCCTGTAAGTAAATAAAAAATACTTTAGAGCTTGTCTTGTAATAAATAAAATATATGTATGCATAAGGGAAGGAAAGTAAATTAACAAGATATTAAATAAAAGAAAATAAAATATAATAAAATAACAAATATATATCCTGCAATACAGACTGATAATGCTTGAGGGCTAAAGGTCTGGTTCGATTTCATTAGTTAAATATAAAAAATAATCTCAAATTTGCTTCTATATACATTTATACAATACTAATACGCGATACAAATATTACATTTAAGAAGGAATTTCAAAAATACATACATACAAAAATACAACTACATTTTATGTACATCAATTTATAGGTACACATGTGTTTAACTATATACTTTTTAGATCGGGACTAATTTAACAAAATCACATTCATATCTTTGGGGGCAACCAAATAATTACTCCAGTAATTTTTTTTGTATGAAAATGAGGTATATGGTCGCGCAAGGAAAAAAATCTTGACGATCACCCCTTTAACACAATACCTATTAAAAAAATTTTGGATACCTATTACAAATATTTACTTCGATCGATGCGATAAATTTGAATTCGTTACAAATTCCCAAGTTAAACTGAGTTTTCCAAAAAGTTTCCCGACTCAAGGATTCTTAGCAGAAGGACGGCAAAGTTGGAAAAATGATGAAATTGGCCAACTTTCCGGGGGTATCACAGGCAAACAGATTATTGGTTTGTTTTGCTGTTAAAATATTTTGAAAGTGACACTCTTTATCTTTCAAACCCCATACTTAATTTTATTTTTTTTAAGAGAGACAAAAAAAAAACAAACCCATAAAACATACAATTATACAGCGCACACTGGGCCAGAAAGTTAATTTTTTGGCCAAAAATCTGTAATTTCCTTTCTAGGACAGTTAGAAGGATGCAGTTTATTGCGTTTTTTTTACGAAAAGATTGAATTTTTCAACGAACTAAAAGTAAAATTTCTTGAAATTTTATCTTAACATCAATAAGAACATTATGTCGTTTAAGATTTATGAACCGTTAAAAACTGCAACTTTCGGAGGCTCCCACATCAACGTTTATCAAACAATCGATTTAAAAAAATTTATATTTTTGTTTTCTTGGTTTCTCTTAAGATTTTTATAATCAAATTATTAAAAAGAATTGTTTTAAAAATATGTTATTCTTAATTTGTTTAATATTAATTTCACATATTCTAAAGTCATCAAAAAAGTATGCTACATTTATATTTGCATAGTTCAGATTAGTCATATTTTAGTTCTCATGTGCAGAAAGTACGAGAAATTCTGCATCGAGTCGGCGGTATGCGCTCTAACTGTCTGTCCGTATGAACGCTGAGATCTCTGAAACTACAAAAGCTAAAAAGTTGGGATTACCCACACATATTCTTGGGCTTCATACGCAGCGAAAGCTTATTTCAGCCGAGCGCCACGCGCCCTCTACCGCCCAAAATCGCCCGCAAACGATTTTAAAAGGTGTCTAGCACCCACATTTTTAAAGATTTCGGAGAAGTATAAACTAAATTTAGTTTTGTTTGTTTACACCTATCGAAATGTAGAAGGCATTGTTCAGATCGGACCATTCGTTATAAAGTTATGCCCCATCACTCCCTTTAGCTGAGTAACGGGTATCTGATAGTCGGGGCACCTTAGAACACAATGAAAAAAGTTATGTGTTTTTGTTTCTGAGTGTCTTGCTCAGAAACTGAGCATTAGGAACTCGTTTTCCCGAGACTCTTTGACTTTCAGAATCTGGCAAAAGCGTCTTTCTATATTAAATGTGATTTGCTAGCATAGGGGTGACACAGAATCTCTTCGGGCGGAATTCGGTTGGAATCTGCTGTTGTCAAAACAACATAATTTAAGTAACCGCAGATTTATAATATATGTATGTATTGCAGGGACCGTAACAGTTATAAGTTATAACTCGCCCTGAAAAACTTATTTTTGATTTTTATTTTTTTGCTCAAAAATTATTATTATTTTTTGAGTTTTATTTTAAAACTAATGAGCATGAGTGAGTTTTCTTTAAAAAAAATTAAAATAAAATTCATTTTGCTTTGGCAGCCATTGTATTATAAATTTTAATATGGATTAAATTTGTTATTGTTCATTTGGCCTTATAGTTTCAATACATATACTAGAAAAATAATTAAATTTTAACATTTGGCTATTTTTTTTTAACGTTTTTGTTGTTTGGCGACCTGTTTTGTACTTTATGTTTTGTTTGGCTGGCTCAAGGTCATGGATCCATGTAATAAAACACAGTTTTGTTTCAAATTTCTTCCCAATATATTTCGGTCCCGCATCGGAGTCCGTCTTCAGGGGCTAGCAACAACACACAAATTATAAACAACGTATAAAACTAATGTTACAAAAATTTAGCTATTTTAAAAAATGATTTACGGTGGAAAATGGGCCTTTTTGTTTAAATTTTTTGTGTAAGCAGGACAAATTTTTATGGATCTGATAAGTTTCGATTACGTTGCAAGATCTTTAAAGTCGTTCGCAATACAAAGTTAAGCCGGAACAATTCAAGAATTTAATTTGATCCGTTCTTTTATAAAATCATGACAGCAATATAATATGACCATGATATATCTACAAATGAAGCAATACTTCAGTTATGTGACTATTTTCACCATTCGCGATTTAACTTAAAGAGTTTGCGGATATTTGACCTGAAGAATTATCCGGTTATTTTATTTGAAGAATTCGAGAATCATTTGACTAAAGAAAATAAATCATAAATAAATTTCTTAAGTCGAATAATCCGTGAATTCTTCAGGTCAAGAGAATCCACGAATTCTTAAGATCAAATGATTCACAAATTCTTTAATCTGTTATCCACGAATTCTTCTGGTCAATTTATTCACGAATTCTTCAGGTCAATAGAATCCACAATAATAGTGGTACAAAAGCCTAATTTTCCACCTTAATTCAATTTTTATAAAAGCTTAATGTTAAAATACAATTTTTTTGAAACTACATGGCCAAACGAACAAGAACTAATTTAAACAATATTTAAACTCCCAATACAGTGGCCGCAAAAGCGAATTGAGTTTTATTTTGAGGTACAGGTACACAGCCAAAAATTTCCACGAACCATTTCTAGTTTTCCATGATAATTGGGTGCTCCTGAGTAAAAGTTGTTGTTATGGAATAACTATTTACTTAGTAGAATTGACAATTTTGCTGGTTGGGGCCAGTTTGACAATTATTACAGTTGATTTTACCAAGTTTTTGTTTTGTGTGCAGGTTCCGCGGTATAGCTAAGAATACAAAAAACCGATGTTTGCAGACATTTTGAATTACGTGCCCTATATAATTGGACTAACCTTTATTATTTTCGGTAGGACCTACTATCAATACATCACGGCATTCCTAAAAAATGGTCCCCATTGTGAACATGTCTTTGGAATTCGACGACAAAGTTGAAAATCCCAAAATTGTAGAGATTTTTTTGATGGAAAAACAATTCTGAGGATTAAATCTTGAATGGAAGTAATTTTAACTATTCATTGTATCTATTGTTTATTGTATTCTTTAATTTCGGTTTAAAGCGTTTTCATGAGGACATTTTATTGGATTTCTTTTACTACACACAAAAAAATGTGCTTGGTAAAATTGACCAACAAAGATAGTTACGTAACTATTAAAATAGTAACGTGTATTTTGTTTTTGCTTTGGGTTTGTGTCTTTGCTAATTGTGTGTATTTTGTTGTTGCGGAATGACTATTTACTTAGTAGAATTGACAATTTTGCTGGTTAACAAGTTTTTTTTTTGTGTGTAATAAAACCGATTTTTTGATTTCATTATCTACTCCTAAATGTTGTCAACCCGAAATTGAGAGTAGTTCCTACCGAAAATAATAAAGATTAGTCCAATTATATAGGGCACGTAATTCAAAATGTCGGCAAACATCGGTTTTTTGTATTCTTAGCTATACCGCGGAACCTGTAGGTGATGGAAAATAATTTTGTATGGGACTTTTACTCAGGAGCACCCAAATATCATGGAAAACTTGAAATGGTTCGTGGAAATTTCACAAAGTTTAATTTGTGTTCCTGTGTAATCGAAATTGACGATTTTTCTCATCAATAACGATTACTGCCTGAGTTTTATAATAAAACTTAAAAAATAATTTTTACCATTGATTTTTAAAAATAAAACTGACAAAATAAAAATAATTGCAGATTTGTATAGCTTGGCCAATTTGGAACTCATTGGTGTTCTCAATTTTTTTGTACCACTTTTCTAAGTGGATGATTTTTTTAGTCAGGAAAATTGGAAATACGTGTTATTTTCGGTCCCTGATGTATTGTATTAATTTCTTGTTCAGTTGCTTATAGCAATATAAGAATATGTATATGTTAAAAGATAACAGGACACTTTTTTTATGTACTTAAGAATTCCAGCCAAATTGTCATCGAAAATATTTTCGTGACACAACCATAAGTAACCTTTAGATTTTATGGCCGTTATTACGGTTAACTATGGGCACTGGACTTTAAATGCTGATCAAGAGTACTTGTAGTTTATAGATTTATATAGGGGTTACTTAGGGTTACTTTCACCTGTTTTCGATCACTTTGAATTTAGGTTACCCAACACCAGTTTAGTGCAATAGATGAAAGTGCAAGTATGACAAATTGTGGGATACCCTTCTCATGTGCGTTGTACGCCTATATTTTAAACTTGCCTGCGGAGTAGTGATTAAAACTTGGTAGCACTGTAGGCGTTGAATAAAGGCCTACATTATTACGCAGATTGGGTTCAACGTCTGATCGATCGTCGTGGACACTAAGTGACGAGGCTGACGGCTGCAGAAGTATAAGGGAAGATGGGTGCGTAATAGTGTTTAAATGGGGGCGTCGGTTTCCTCTTATCAACTGTTCTTCTGCTATATGATGTAGATGTGGCAAAGGAATATGATCACTGGCATCCGAATTGGTATTTTGTTTGACAGATTCCTTACTGGTTTCTTCTCTGCCCCCCTCACTGTGCGACTGAGCCACCTTAACACTGTTACTATTAGTTTCCGAGTGGTTTTGCACAATCCTAGTGCTAATTGTGCAAGGATCGGCCGGATCGGAGCTTTCTGGCACATTAATGTTTCCTTGTCCGACTGATGAGGTGCCGTTTTCCATAGATGAATAGTTTCCGTCAAATGCTAGAGGTAATATATATGCAATAAAATATCGGGCTAATTTCTAAATGATCATTTGCTAAAATCCCATTACCACAAAATGCTCATATGTGTGCACCTTCTGGTTATACGCTAGAAATCGTTTTTCGCTAGTGAAGATTTTTTTAAAAGTTAAGTATTGTCACCTCATTATCGGTTCCAAAGCGACCTTCCAAGTTACCTAACGACATGACAAATATATTCCTCAAACCATTTTCAGTATTTATAATGTGTTTCTGTGTCACCCACGATAGCGTTGCAGCTTGTAATATCAAATTGGTAAACTTCGGTTACAGACAATACCTTTAAAAGAAGTGTCTACATAAACTTTAAATAAACTTTTTCTCATTAACCGATTTACGATTCCTATAACTCAAATAGGAACTACAACATACCTTTATATTTTGATGTACAATGGGTCCTGTTTTAACAGCATATACTTGAATTCAATTTCAACGAAATTGAAATATATGTGCTGGCAATGGAGCGATGGTCTATATACTGTCGATATACTATACCATACGATATAATATCTATTTAGAAAACGGATCCGGCTAAATACCTCCACAGAATGTTATCATAGACAACAAATATCGAAGAAATTTCGTTAAACAAAAGTCAAACAAAACAAGTTTGGGGTTCCAAATCGACCCACCCTTATGTACATATATAAGTAAGAAAAAGAAAAAAAGCTAGCTTTGGCCAGCCGAAGCTTTTATACCCTGCAGATCATTCCTATTAACTTACAAATCGCATAAATTTCAAATTTCGTATTGTTTTGACATTAATTTTTCTATCCTTCCCTATGGCAGCTATATAATATAGTCATCTGATTTTTGTTAAATTCCGAAATATTAAAAAAAATCATATCCTAGAGTAGAAGAGAATACAATAAAAATCAACGGAGCTATAATTTGTTTCCAATTAATTTCCCATTAATTTTTCGATCGTGGCAGCTATATGATATAGTCGTCCGATTTTGATCAAAATAAAAAAAATTAAAAATTCGGAAATATTTAAAAAGAGTCATATCCTAGAGTAGAAGAGAACACAATAAAAACCAAAGAAGCTAGAATTTATTTCCTATTACTTTTCCATTAATTTTCCGATCGTTCCTATGGCAGCTATATGATATGGTGATCCGATTTTATAAATATTTAATTCGAAACTCAGAAATATATAAAAAATAACATTGCCAAGAGTAAAAGGTAATATTTGAAAAAACACCGAGGCTAGAGTTTTTTTACATTTTTTTCCGATCCTTCCTATGGGAGCTATAAGATATAGTTGTCAAGTCCGGTCGGTTCCGACTTATATACTAGCTGCAATAGAAAGAAGACTTTTGGCAAGTTTCAAGCCGATAGCGTCAAAACTGAGAGACTAGTTTGCGTAGAAACGGACGGACAGACGGACCGACGCACAGGCGGACAGACGGACATGGCTAGATCGACTCGTCTAGTGATGCTGATCAAGAATACACACAAAAAATTTGATTTTACCAAGTTTTTTTTTTTGTGTGTATGTATACTTTATGGGGTCGGAAACGTCTCCTTCACTGCTTTGTAAACTTCTGACTGAAATCATAAACTTTTTCAAAAATCTTCTTTCTATTGCAGGTAATATATATGTCGGAACCGACCGGATCGGACAACTGTATCTTATAGCTCCCATAGGAAGGATCGGAAAAAAAAACGTTAAAAAAATTCTAGCTTCGGTGTTTTTTCAAATATTACCTTCTACTCTTGGGAATATTTTTTTTATATATTTCTGAATTTCGAATTAAATATTTAAAAAATCGGATCACCATATCATATAGCTGCCATAGGAACGGTCGAAAAATTAAATGGAAATTAATAGGAAAAAAATTATATCTTTGTTGATTTTTATTACACACTCTTCTACTCTGGAATTTGACTATTTTTGAATATTTCCGAATTAGTATTTTAATTTTAAAAAGATCGAAGTACCTTATCATATAGCTGCCATAGAAACGATCGAATTTTCGATTAATTTTAATTAATTTGAAATAATAACATTTTTAACATTTTTGCGATTTGTAAATTAATAGAATGATCTGCACACAAAAAAAATTGCTTGGTAAAATTTACCAACAAAGATAGTTACGTAACTATTAAAATAGTAACGTGTATTTTGTTTTTGCTTTGGGTTTGTGTCTTTGCTAATTGTGTGTATTTTGTTGTTGCGGAATGACTATTTACATAGTAGAATTGACAATTTTGCTGGTTGGGGCCTGTTTGACAATTATTACAGTTGATTTTACCAAGTTTTTTTTTGTGTGTGCAAGGGTATATAAGCTTCGGCTTGCCGAAGCCAGCTTCCTCTCTTGTTTTTTGTTTTATTCACAGAAATCGTAAATCGACCAATGTGGCCTAGTGTGACGATTATAAAAAATGGAAAGTTACTAAGAAACATAAATCGGTTGAAGAGAACAACGATGTATTTTAATTATATGTACTTTTCTTCAGTTAACGTTAGGGTCAATAAAAAAGTCGGATACAATAAAAAAAATCGATCGAAAAAATAAATTAATAACACTATGCAACATCAAAAATTAACCTCGATGGATGCGTTCGTTACGAATTCTCAAGTAAAACTGCGTTTTCCAAAAAGTTCACCGACGCCAGGATTTTTAGCAAAAGGACCTCAAAGTTCGAAAACAGCTGAAATTGGCCAACTTTCTGTAGGTATCACAGGCAAACGGATTAATGGTTCGTTTTGATGTTAAAGTTTTAAAAACACAGGGCGGCAACACTACACACAAAAAAATTTGCTTGGTAAAATTGACCAACAAAGATAGTTACGTAACTATTAAAATAGTTACGTGTGTTTTGTATTGCTTTGGGTTTGTGTCTTTGCTAATTGTGTGTATTTTGTTGTTGTGAAATGACTATTTACTTAGTAGAATTGACTATTTTGCTGGTTGGGGCCTGTTTGACAATTATTATTGTGTGTACTACTATTTTGACCGCTGCTGTATTTTTATACCCTTGTAGAGGGTATTATAATTTCAGTCAGATGTTTGCAACGCAGTGAAGGAGACGTTTCCGACCACATAAAGTATATATATTCTTGATCAGTACCAATAGCCTAGTCTATCTAGCCATGTCCGTCTGTCCGTCTGTCCGTCTGTCCGTCTGTCCGTTTCTATGCGAACTAGTCTCTCAGTTTTAAAGCTATCGCGATGAAACTTTCCCGAAGGTCTTCTTTCTATTGCAGGTAGTACATATGTCGGAGCAAGCCGGATCGGACCACTATATCTTAAGGCTCCCAAACAAATATAAGAAAATTCATTGTAACTTTGTAGGAAGTAGGCGTTTTGATTCTTGACTACTTAAAAACAAAATTGAAATAAATCGAAACGCTGAATCTGGAATCCCTGGAACTGCACCGAGTGAGTATTCTTTTATCTACAAGGGTATATAAGCTTCGGCTGGCCGAAGGTAGCTTCCTTTCTTGTTTTATTTTAAATATGGGGTTTGAAAGGTAAAGAGTGTACCTTTTAAAAAACTTTAACATTAAAACAAACCATGAATCCGTTTGCCTGTGATACCTCCGGAAAGATAGCCAATTTCAGCATTTTTAAACTTTGAGGTACTTGTTCTAAGCATTTTTGCGTCAGGGAACTTTTTGGAAAACACAGTTTAACTTGGGAATTCGCAACCAATATAGCATCCATCGAGGTAAATTAAAAAACAATAATTGTGTTGCACAGTAAAATTTACGAATATTTTAGAAACATTTGGATTTATGTGCATATCTTTAAGAACCCAGTGTAACAATCTGTCTTTCCTTACCTGTGTAAAAGGGAGCGATTGTCTGTTCCTGCATTGAATTCGCACTAAGCTTCATTTCATGCATGCTTATAGGGACTAAAGGTGTAAGCGAACTGCCTCCTACATCGGTTAAGTTTACGATGGAAAATAAATTCAAGGAAAAATAAATAGATATACCATATTTAAAGAAAATGTTACAAATAATAATAAATAAAACATACCAAATAAACTATTAAATTTAAAAATACTTTATAATTTAGTGGGGTGGATGACTTACCAATTGAAGGTCCTATTGTCGGTGTATACAGTGAGCTTTGGGTTTGCGAAATCGTTGCAATACTATCGTACAACATAGACGCATCACTGCTAGATGGTGTCGGGCCAGCTCCTGATATTGAGTTTGTTGCAAATCCGTTTGGAGCCTCATAATATGATGCTGCGCAGTTTCCGCTGCCTGTTGTCAAATTGCCTAATTCGGCAAGCAGTTTGTGTTCATCCTTAATACACCATTTTCCTGACCAAATCTTTAAAAAACAAACATTTTTATATTTTTGACTTGGTATTGGTATTGTACTTCTAAAAAAAGACAACGCAAAGGCATCTACACCCTTTGATACTAATTTATATTTGTATAATTTTTAAGAGCAATAAAAACAAGAAAGGAAGCTAGCTTCGGCCAGCCGAAGCTTATATACCCTTGCTCACTCGGTGCAGTTCCAGGGATTCCATATTCAGCGTGCCTATTTAAATTTTGTTTTTAAGTTGTCAAAAATCAAAACGCCTACTTCCTACAAAGTTACAATGAATTTTCTTATATTTGTTTGAATATTCCTATGGGGGCCTAAGATATAGTGGTCCTATCCGGCTCGCTCCGACATATGTACTACCTGCAATAGAAAGAAGACTTTCGGGAAAGTTTCATCCCGATAGCTTTAAAACTGAGAGACTAGTTCGCATAGAAACGGACAGACGGACAGAAGGACAGACGGTGCTGATCAAGAATATATATACTTTATGTGGTCGGAAACGTCTCCTTCACTGCGTTGCAAACATCTGACTGAAATTATAATACCCTCTGCAAGGGTATAAAAATATAATCCGATTATGTTTGGCAGGGATTCGGTGAACATAGTAAAAACCATTTTTTGAAAGTGTTCTATAACCATGCGCGGATCCACGGGGGGTGATTTGGGTGATATATCACCCCCCCACTTGGGTAAAAAAAATTCTAGATCCGCTACTATCTAGCACACTTTTAGTCTCCGATAAATTAGCCGATAGTAACGAATATAAAATTTACTTGAAATCCTAAAAATCCTAAAGTAAGGCCTAAAATCTAACGCCCTTAAGAGCTTATTCCTTTCTGAAGGTTTGTAATCACAGTTTCTAGGACCGTATTGAACAATCTCTGATTTCGTTTCCTTCTTTGAATTAGTGTGACTGGGAAAGCCACAGAAATCTTTTAGCACTTTATCTTTTAGTACACTTACATTTGGGTAAAGTTGATCGCCACTGTATCCCATTCGTTGCCGTTTGCCATCATCTTCGGAATGTATATTTGTGTCACGGTTCTCATCTAAAAAGTAAATTGGTTAAACATTAATCAGTTAATTTTATTTATATTACGGTTCAAGTTTGTCACGTGCCGCCTAAGTGCGTTCGTGAGTTAATAGTCACATTGCCGTCGGCGGTAATGTAAATATAAGTACACCGACACCCTTTCAAGATATTTTTGACATTTCATTCTTTTCTATTATTATTATAGGTTTTAGTCGGACTTTGAAGTTTAACGGCCATCCAAACAAGGGAAAATTCATGTCAAAGGCGGCTAGGGGCTGATTCGCTGACATCCCCCGCACACTAAAATGATTTCGTTATATACGGACTTATAACGAAATTTTACTGTAGCGTTATTTCTTCTGTTAAAGCCATAGAGAAAGATTTTTTTTAATGTTGAATAAGATTTTGTTTCCATTACACTAGTTTACAAAAAAAATCGATGAAATATACCATGAAAGAAACCTTTGTTTTCTGGTAAGTTACGTCTTCCTGATTAAGAAAATGGCTTTTAATTTATTTTTTTTATGGAACCAAATTTTTTTTAAGTTTAAAAAAGTTTTTGACGTTTTTTTATTTCTAACTCGAGTTCTTAATCAGGAAGACATACCTTACCGGAAAACAAAGGTTTCCATCATGGTATATTTCGTCGATTTTTTTTGTGAACTGGTGTTATTAATACTCAAATGGTTGGGTATCCAATCCTTTCAGCTGAGTAATGGAATCCGAACAAATTGTTATAATTATATAATAGTTAAAAATTAAATTTTGTGTGCTCTGTTAAAAGTGAAAGCTGAATAAATTTGAAATGGGTTTGATTGTGAAATTTGCCCACATGGCCACACATTGGTCACTTGGTAAGCAACCCTTTGTCGCATTTCATGGTACTTTTCCTGCATCGATCTGTTTTACTTGAACAAATTTGCCACAAGTGAACAGTTAATTCCCCAAGCGACTGAAATAGCAATTTTAGGGAAGCTTAAAAAAAATGGGCCATGAGTCGATTTTTGATTTTATATGGCTTTTTATTATCCATTCAATGATACAACTTTGCAGACCTGCTAGGATCTGATAACCTCTATGGATAATGGTATCTAGCACTCAAAAATAAAATAAAAAAATCAAACAGTGCCAGTATGTTACGATTGAATCGAAATCTCTTCATCTAGGGTGCGATTGCTCGCTTGCTGTTATACATTATTGGGTTTTTATTGAAACGGACAGGCACTTTCTGAGGAAAAGGTAATTTGGACAGATTGGAATTATTATCAAATTTCATCTACTCTAGCAACCCTCACAATCAATTAAGATAATATCTACTTACTCTGCCCGACATGTGGTAAAGGATATCTGATTTAAAGACACCACAAGACTATTCGCTTTTGCACGCAATAATTTCTGATTTAATCTTATCTGTTCTTCGGTTAGCTTTCAGATATGTAAATAAGCCGACGGGATTTGTCGAATATTAAGTAATTAAAAATTTAGGTATGTACATTTCCTGACTTTACAGAGCGCATCTTCATATCTTCATCTTAGGAATTGTAAGAGCAAACTTTAGATTTCAAACCCTTTTGGCTGATTAATTTATTTATCGAGTATTTATCGCTTTAATATTTATATGAGCTTGTTAATGTTTTTGTCGACTTCGCATTAAATGCGATAACTCAAAGTATACTTACCATGGGCTTCGATTCTTTTACGTTTACAATTGGTGGGATCTGCATTATTGTTGTTGTTGACGCTACTGTTGTTATTATTGTTGTGAGAATGGTGTCCATGTTGTATACCTAATATTCCATTAATGCTATATCCAGTCGTTCGTTGTTCAGTCGTTGAGTTGATATTTCCATTGCTGGTGTCATTGGTGTTGGCATTGATTTGACCGACTGGAACTTGGACAGAATCAGTGCCCGACGTCGGAATTGAAGCGTGAGGCGCAATCGCCGCCGCAGAAACGTTTGTGTTTGCCGAATTAGCACTGCTATTGCTAGTTCCATTACTCGGTGGCTGCGGCTCGCCGTTCGTTCCAGTGCTGCTATCAAGACTTTCTGTGGCTATGTGTCCTCCACCGAGACCCTGGGGCACATGATGCTGTTGGTGATGATGGACATGTTTGGCTTTCTCTGCGGCTTTATTCCTCACAATGCTGAAATTTGGAAATGTAAGAAATTTGCGTTTATAATTGGCTTGCAATTATTCTGTAGGATTTTACTACTTCTTGAACATAAGTATTTAGAGCACGCTATTAATTTGACCGAAAGTGAAACAAATTATACATTAAGGTAAGTTTTTTCGTCCGCATGTCAAATTAAAAGTAGGGTTAAAACCTTGAAAATGTATGGGAACTAAGAGCTAAGCATTTTTAAAAAAACAGCATGCGGTTGAGGAAACCTTGGGCGACCTAATACGCCTTTGAGGAATTATTTAACCTGGAGTCCCCTAATGCGCGATGTAAGTACATTTGACATGATGCTTTTTAGATTGTTAAGGAAACCATATGCCTCAGAGGGTTGCAAAAACAGAAGTCAATTCTGGCCAAATCATGCCCTGATGACAACAGTCTCAGATTTACTTTTTTTTGAGTACCAGTTTGGAGACGGGATGAGCAATTGGATATTTGGACAGTGCACACAATTGAGACATATGTTTGGGATGCGAGAAAAATACAACCCGCTGCATGTTCTGTTGTATACGTCTGTAGATACATTTAAATGTACTTCGGCGGAGGGCTGAAAACTAAAATTGGTTGAGTGCTATGAAAGTCACTTTATTAAGTGTCAGTCTCCTGGGAATCAGTGTATGGGGAGTCCTGCTGCCCTCGTACGCACAATTTTGATTCGATTGAATAACCACCACCCTAATCATCGCTCAAGTGCCATCACATCACACATTGTCGCATTATGAAATGTTCTTACTGATTATACTGTGAATTACCCCTGTTCGCCGCGACTTTGGCATTATCATCGGTCACATGTCAACTCTGGCGTTCGTTCAGAGTTGCAGGACCTAGTAGTAACACAAATCGAATTGATTATGAATGGTTGCACGTGTCGTGTGAGGTTGAAAACTCCAATTCTAATTTAATTTGATTAGGTATAAGCTTGCTGTAAATCGGTATGGAAAAAAGAACTAAGCAAGTGCGGTGCAACATGTTCGTCGCAAGCCATATATACTCTGTTATTAGTTTATAATTTGCATGGATTCATCTGAAATTGTAATGTCAAATCAATGCTTACTGAAATTAAAATATTCTCGCGTCGGCAACTAAAAGCGTCTCCCTATGGATTATCTGCTTGTCTTTCATATTGTTTTTTTCAATAGTCATTGAGATATAAATGTAGGACAGATCACTGCGTCGAATGTATAATAACACAGGCCAGCAGAAATGTTAAAAAGGCCTGACACAATTACGAACTTGATTTGCCAAAGTAAAAGACAAGGGGGGATCATATACTAAAATTCGACGCTCCGTTAAAAAGTTATAGCCAAAAGAAGATTTTCTTCTTCTTTCCAAAATGAAAATTTAATTCTGGTTGTCAGTTTGAGTTTGTGCACTTCTGTCCCAAAACATTGGTTTAAAGTCCTGGAAATTCTAAGAAATAAGAAACATTAGTGTTACCACTTCTGGAAAAACTCGCTAGTTTAGCGGGAAAACAGCTATAAATAGCTAAGTTTCGAAGGCCCATAATTTGCGAAATATTAGTATTTTGAAGTACAATAAACGCCTTCTTAACACTATTTATGTAAGTATATGCAATAGTTAAAAACTTCTGCAAAAATAAACATTTTTTTAACTTTATTTTTATTTTTCTCAAAAACGGCTCTAACGATTTTCTTTAAAAAATTAAACTGTATAGCCCTTGAGATTTCTTAAATTTTGGTATATATCATTTTGGTATTACAATAATTGTAAAAACTCACGGTTAAAAATTATTAAGAAACGAAAATAGCCACTTTTGCCAGCTTATAACAATTAATGCCTGCCTAAGCATTAAATTTTGTATGTGCGTCTCCTGTCAGTCTATCCCAAATCGTTGGTTTAAGGTCCTGGAAATGTTATATGGCGTTAAACAGCTCGATATAAGAAACATTAGTTCTACCACTTTTGGAAAAACTAGCTAGTTTAGCGAGAAAACAGCTATAAATGGGGAAATTTCTAAAGGCACGCTGCAATAGAGAATGCCTGTGAAGGGAAAAAGGCTGGAATGGTGTGCTAGGGCGGGCCGAATCAGAAAATGTTAGAAAGTGTATTTAAATAATTTTTCGTCACAATTGTTGATATCAGAATTTTTGCATGTTGAAGGTGCGATCGTCACTAGTTTTTTATCTCGTTAAGAGGTGTTTTTATTTGATATATAGTAGTCGCCTTCGCACACTCTCCTGGTGCGCTTCGTCACTGCGTGGACTGCCGTCCACAGCGATTTATAGGGTCGGAAACGTTTTTGACCTGTTCCATACATTCTTACGAGTACCCTTTCACTCTACGTGTTAATGGTATATAACGGTTGCATGCCCATTTTAACGGTCACAATTTCAAAGATTTAATACAGTGTAAATTGTTTTTTATTTTATTTGTTAATAGCTATTGACGCTTGATGGAGCTGTTATACCATCTCTAAAATATACTTTATATCCTTATTACTCACTCACTCTCAGAAACGTTTATCTGATAGCACCAGTTTACAACATAAAATCGACCTCTTCCTCATCGAAGACAACCTAGGTGTTCCGGTAAAGTACATCTCACTTATTAAGAAATGGGAAATGATCTGCGTTAACATGTTTTAGGACGACTATGAAAGTTTCAGACCGCCAGCATTTAAACTGAGCTTGCAAACGGTATTGAAACAGACAGACAGATGGACATGGCTACATCGACTCCCTTATTATTACAAATAAAAGACAGATGGACATGACTATATCGACTGATCCTGATCAAGAATATATATATTTTATGGGTTACAAACTTCTGACAAAAATTATAATACCCTCTACAAGGGTATTAAAATATTTTAGTAGATGACGCCAAAATGGTAAAAGTATTTGACAAGGTTTTAATTCTGAATAATGATTAATTATTGCACCGGGGAAATATGCAAATTAAAACAGGGTGCAGCTAATTTTTACTAGGCAGTCGTTTGAAGGTTTTTGCAGCTGCTTTTCGGTGGCTTCTTTGAATGCTACCAACATAATTTATGCTCTAAAAGGAAGTGCGTAAATAAAAGCAATGTGGGGCAGTGTCGACGTCGGAACCGCCACGTGGCGTGGCCAAGACTCTACGATGATGCTGTCGGCAATAAAGCCACACCGGATGCTCGAGAGGAAAGTGGCTTTTGTTGTGGTCGTGTGTCAAGCATTGTGCCACAATTATGAACGCTAAAAACTACTTAGATATATTTATTAGATGAAAGGTTTGGTAAAATATAAAGTCACAGAGCAGTATGATGTTAGGCTCTATCCGAGTCTAGCTTTAAGGAAACGGATACGGATGTTAACAGCATGACAGCAAACAAACTTCGGAGCACCAACATAGCGCGTAGCGGACGTGCGTATATCCGTTCTAATCCACGTTTGGGTTTCAGGCTTGATTGGGACTTCAATTTGTATACCCTTGCAGAGTGTATTATAATTTCAGTCAAAAGTTTGCAACGCAGTAAAGGAGACTTTTGGCTAGACGAGGGACATGGCTAGATGGACTCGGCTATTAGTGCTGATCAAGAAAATATATATATGATCAAGAAATATATATTTATGGGGTCTGAAACGTCTTGTATTTCCTTACCGGTTTATAGAAGAAACACTGGGAACATTATCCTGAGAGCATATAGCTTCTGCCAAAAGCCGATCTCGTATCTCCCAAGCGAACATCGTGGGGTTTTCGCGTTTATAGTTGGCTATTGCATCTACCACTGGCGGGGTGGCCACTTTTGGTTTGGAGCCGCCAATAACACCGGCCTTAAAACTACCAGTCTCGTAATATCTGAAATGAAAATGAATTACCGGTATAGACGGTATAAGCAATTTAAAAATAAAAATGCGTCCAGATAGCGCTGAGCATGAATTACGCATTCATTTTTAATAAAAACTTTTCAAACTTTGAGGTCCTGTTTCATAGTTTCCTTGCGTCGGAGAACTCTTTGGAGAACACGGTTTAGTTTGGGAATTCGTTTCAAATTCAAATTTATCACATCCAGCTAGGTAAATTTTAGACGTAACGTAGTGTTATTTTAAGTGCTTAATTACCTTGATAGTATCTTGGAAACACAACCATGGCTCACGCGTAACTGGCGTGATATGTCACATGGGCGGACACCATTGTGCGCGAGCTCCACAATACGCTGACGAACGACATCGGGTAGAGGACGCCCATTAACAAATACGCCTCCAAGTTGATTAACTCCTCCATGACCTATTTAAAATAAACAAACAGTTATTTTAACTAAAACATTTCGATTTATTTGAAAGTATAGTTTTGCTAGAGGGTACAGAGTGTATCAAATAAAATTCGATAAAGAATTCATGTAAAACCAATTTTTAAAATCGGAACACTTTTTATACTCTTGCAGGAGGTTTAATGATTTCAGTCAGAAGTTTGCAACGCAGTGAAGGAGACGTTTCCGACCCCATAATATAAGTATATATATTCTTCATCAGCATCACTAGACGAGTCGATTTAGCCATCTCCGTCTGTTCGTCGATCCGTTTGTCCGTTTCTACGCAAACTAGTCTCTCAATTTTAAAGTTATTGCGGTGAAACTTTCCCAAAAGTTTTTTTATTGCAGGTAGTACAGGGTGGCCCACAAAAGAATTACATTTTAAAATCGCTATAAAAAAACAACGAGTATATATTTTTCAAAAATGTATTTTTTATTGGATAGCCTTAACATTGCGGTTTATGTATGAAACATTACCTTGTTCATCCGGCTGCCTCAGCAGCTTTGCAGTAGCCCAAATTTGGTTACGGCGTCTCCTTCTTCGTATTCTAAGAAAAACGGGACTACTTCTCCAAGAAAAATTTACCAACAAAAAAATTTTATTCCGACAAAAAAATTTTAAAAAGTTGTTTTTTGCTTTGTTTATTTTTAATGCATTAATTTTGAAAAAATAATTAAAATGTTTATTTATGTTTTGTTTTATTTGTTCTTTCCTTCCTATGGAGGCTATAAATTATTGTCGTCCGAATGTTTTTAAATTTAATTCAAAATTCTGAAATACTAAAAAGGAGCCGTGTCCCTAAGTAGAAGAGAATACAATAATAACCAACGGAGCTATAATTTCTTTCCTAATAATTTCCCAATAATTTTTTCGATCGTTCCTATATAATCGTCTGATTTTTATAAAATTAAATTCGAAAGGCAGAATTGATCAAAATAATGTTATACCCAAAAATAGGCCCAAGAAAGGCATCCTGTTCATAGTTCTCTGCTTTAACTCCGTGATACGTATCCACCACCACCCAAAGGAAGTGTGCTGTGATATCAATGATACCAAAGCCAGGTAAACCGGAGAACCTTGTTGCCTTAGTCTGCTGCCCACATTTTCTAAAATAACTGAGAGAATATTTCTTAGCAGAATAATGGCAGGAAGAGGAGTTCAGGATGCCATTCCAGACCACCAGTTTGGCTTTCGAAGGCACCAAGGTACCCCCGAACAAGCTCATCGGTAACCCAGCACATCATTCAATTCGGCAATCTTTCTTGACGTCAAGGAAGCTTTTCATCGAGTATGGCACGATGGCTTGCTTTTCAAGCTAAAAACTCTCTTCCCAACTGGCCAATATCTTGTCGTCCCAAACTTTAAAAGCTGAACTGGATGCTTAGAGGAAGAATAGCCTCAGCAAGAAGGTTTTATAGAGGTCAATTGTAGTTCCTTTACTAACATACTGCATCCAAATATGGGGCACTGCTTCGGATTCCAACATCATGCGGATTCAAAGACTACAAAACAAGGCCCTGCGCACCATAGCGAATGAACTGTGGTACGTGAGAAATGATGTCCTGGCCACGTCATCAGACCTGAGTCCTGACACAATAATATAGAATTGTCAATGTTATAAAAAATATATTTTTTATAACCATTTATTTGGTTGATTAACTTTTATTTAAAATTTTATAGTAACAAAAACCCAACAAGAAAGGAAGCTAGCTTCGGCAAGCCAAGGCTTATATACCCTTGCAGACCATTACAAATCGCAAAAATGTTAAATTTCTTATTATTTCACATTAATTTTTCGATCGTTTCTAATAAAAACTTTCTATCACAGCTATATGATATAGTAGTTCGATCTTTTAAAAATTAAAATCAAAATTCGGAAATATTTCAGAAAAGTCATATCCCAGAGTAGAAGGGAATGTAATAAAAACCAACTAAGATATAATTTTTTTCCCATTAATTTCCATTTAATTTTTCGACCGTTCCTATGGCACCTATATGATTTAAAAAACAAAAAAACCGAAGTTCAGAAATATATAAAAAAAAATATTCCCAAGAGTAGAAGGTAAAATTTCAAAAAACACCGGAGCTAGAATTTTTTTACGTTTTTTTTTTTAACCTTCCTATGGGAGCTATAAGATATAGTTGTCCGATCCGGTTGGTTTCGACTTATATACTACCTGCAATAGAAAAAAGACTTTTGGGAAAGTTTTATCCCGATAGCTCAAGAACTGAGAGACTAGTTTGCGTAGAAACAGACAGACGGACAGACGGACGGACAGACGGACGGACAGACGGACGGACAGACGGACATGGCTAGATCGACTCGTCTTGTGATGCTGATCAAGAATATATATACTTTATGGGGTCGGAAACGTCTCCTTCACTGCGTTGCAAACTTCTGACTGAAATCATAATACCCTCTGCAAGGGTATAAAAATAGGAGGTTATATGTCAAAAAACATGGAAGCTATAAATGTGCGAAATGTTATGATCAAAAATTAAAACAGCCACTAGACGGAGCTGACGACTGCGTATCTTCATCTTCCTCGCACTCTCTTTAGCTGAGTAACGGGTATCCGATTTCGACTATAGCGTTCTCTCTTGTTATACCCGTTACTCGTAGAGTAAAAGGGTATACTAGATTCGTGCAAAAGTATGTAACAGCTAGAAGGAAGCGTTTCCGACCCCATAAAGTATATATATTCTTGATCAGGGTCACTAGCCGAGTCGATCTAGCCATGTCCGTCTGTCCGTCTGTCCGTCTGTCTGTCTGTATGAACGCTGAGATCTCAGAAACTACAAAAGCTAGAAGGTTGAGATTTCCCACACATATTCTTTGGCTTCCTACGCAGCGCAAGTTTATTTTAGCCGAGCGCCACGCCCCCTCTAACGCCCACAATCGCCCACTAACGATTTTAAAATGGGTCCTGCGCCCACATCTTTAAAGATTTCCGAGAAGTATAAATGCAATTTTGTTGTGTATATTTATACCTATCGAAATGTAGAAGACATTTTTCAAATCGGACCATTCATTAAAAAGTTATACGATTTATAAATTGTCAACATATATCTATCTCCCTCGCACTCCCTTTAGCTGAGTTACGATTATTAGTCGGGACACCAACCCGACACAGCGTTCGAACTCCCTTTAGCGGAGTGACGGGTATTAGATAGTCGGGACACCAACCCGACTATAGCGTTCTCTCTTGTTTCTAACTCGAGTTGTGATAAACCGATTTCGTTAAAAATACACGCCTAAAAACCGAAAATAGTTTTATAACTTCTACACACAAAAAAATTTGCTTGGTAAAATTGACCAACAAAGATAGTTACGCTTTACTATTAAAATAGTTACGTGTATTTTGTTTTTGCTTTGGGTTTGTGTCTTTGCTAATTGTGTGTATTTTGTTGTTGTGAAATGACTATTTACTTAGTAGAATTGACAATTTTGCTGGTTGGGGCCTGTTTGACAATTATTACAGTTGATTTTACCAAGTTTTTTCTTTGTGTGTAGTTTTTATTGATTGCATAATAAAGTAAAAAGCTTAGGCCATTAACGTTAGAGATTATTAGGCATAACTTAATAAAATATGCTCCGCGATGAAAACATATTAAAAACTACTTTGCCGAAAAGCACGATTTATTTATACCTTATTTTTTAGGTAGGGAGCCTGAGCCTGCGGTTGGTGCAACATGAATGTTTGTCATGGCTTTCGATCACATGTTATGGTTTGATTTCATTGATGGGTGGTGTTTGTTTTGTTGGTTGGGAGGTGCATACGACACATTCACATTGGATGTAGACAGACAGATAGAATATGTTGGAGATAGAGATTGACAGAAGAACTCAGTTAGAGGGCGTTAAGAGAAGGTTAAGTTTTGAGTTAGGTATTGCTTAAGTTTTGTGCGCAGTTTACAGCTAAAAGTCGCAGAGAAAGGAGCAAAAGCAGTATAACCTACACACAAAAAAAAACTTGGTAAAATCAACTGTAATAATTGTCAAACAGGCCCCAACCAGCAAAATTGTCAATTCTACTAAGTAAATAGTCATTCCGCAACAACAAAATACACACAATTAGCAAAGACACAAACCCAAAGCAAAAACAAAATACACGTTACTATTTTAATAGTTACGTGGCTATCTTTGTTGGTCAATTTTACCAAGCAAATTTTTTTGTGTGTAGTAATTGAGGAAGTATTTGAATATAAACAGCATAAACATCAGTGCTGCCATTTTGTCCTCTTTCCGGACAGATCTGTCCTTTTTTTAACGACTTTATCCGGAAAAAAATTCAAACATCCCCTATCCGGAAATCTGTCCTTTTTTCAAAGATAAGGTTTTGAGTGTTCTTTTTGCTAGTCGAAAGTGTATAAACCTGCTTTTATATGCTAAAACGCCGTTTTAACCATTATTCTTAAGTTCGGCAATTTAAAAATAATTCTTTTTACAAATTATCAAAGAGATGTAATGCAGTCGATTTTTTCTGTAGCAAAAAAAAAGAGGAAAACACTTTAAAAAGTTCTAAATTTTTACTCTCAGCCTTTTTGTCAGAAAAAAATTTCATATTTGAACGACTCTTATTCGGGTTTGACGCAGATATTGAATTTTTTTGTATTACCAATATAGTTACTTGAAATGCTTTTATTATTTTAATATTTTAGATTATTACGTATACGCACAAAAATTGACCATGGTAAAATGATCAAACGAAGAAGGTTGTGAGTCGGGCGCAATAGATCATTACATAATTGAATTTAATATAAAATCCATTTATATTAAGTAAATATATCACCCATTGGTAAAAACAGAAAAATGGAGGCGCATTAACTTTTGTCCTTTTTTTGTCCTTTTTTAAATTTTTTTGTCCTCTTTTTCCCTGTTTTTTTGGCTTTTCTGTCCGGTTTTTCAAGCTGAGTGATGGCAGCACTGATAAACATGAAAGAATAAACAACATAATATTTTATATATGAAAA